CCTAATTCTCTTACCCATTTGTCAAACAGGGGTGATAATTGTGGAGGGCAGTGTATGTATGTATGTATGTATATATATATATATATATACACATGCCTTTTTATGGTTGTATATACTGTATATATACACATATATACATGCACCTTTTATATATATATATATATATATATTATGGTGGCCGAGAGAGCTCACCGCGCTGCAACCTGATGAAGACGAATGCAAATACAAAAAAACGTGTGCAACTATAAAAACGCATGCAAATAAAAAAAAACATCTGCAAATTAAGAAAAACATCTTCATCAGTTCCAAAACACACGTAGGGATGCAGCGATTACCGGATTTCACAATTAACCGCGATTTAAAATGTCACGGTTAATTAATCGTAAAGACTTTGCTACACCGTGTATTCTGCACAGGCAACTAACACAAAACGAAAACAAAGTTACGCCAGCGGTGCACCAGCTTAAAGTGCTCATCAGTCACTATGGCAGAGGGACTAAGCAGCGACGCTCTATTTCCACAGGAAAAAAAAAAAAAACGCCTCAAGTCAGCAGTGTGGGAGCATTTTGCGTACACAAAGAATAACAAGGGTGTTATAGAAGACGACGGATCACCTGTCTGCAAAACTTTCCGTAAAAGTTTCCGTTGAATATTTTCGTTAACAACATTTTTTTCACAGACAAAAACGAGACGAGAAACTAATAAAAACTAGACGCAAATGTTGTGATGATCTGAGGAGCGATCCAGTCAGAACTGATGTCCTGCGTGTGTAATGCACACATTTGTACTGTTGGTCTTGGTATACCCTGCGGTGCCAAAACACGTTAAAAAATGTAAACGTCTGGGAGAATGAGTAGAGCAGACATAGTCTATAGATCTGAATAAGAGTGACGATGCAAAAAAAGAGCTGTATTCGGTACAGTTTTCTGTGGGCACAAACCCGACGCGTGCAACCATGCTAATAGACACATACAGCGCGCGGGTACTGAACTGAGCTCACTTTTGTGTCTGAATAGACAAATACACACAACATTATGTCTAAATGTCCGGTTTGGACAGTATTCATGTAAATTATGTCGGTTATGTCTTAAACAGTTGAGTGTCCGTGTGCATCAGTGCAATTGGATCCGCATGTCATTTGACATGATCTGACTTCTTAAAGCGACAGTGTAAACCTAATGCGGTCTGTATCCTTAATATTGATCAAGCAACAAAAGAAAAAAGCATTCACTGTTTGTTAATAGCTTTAATAAGGATTAATTATATTCATGCAAATAAATATGTCTGCTTGAAAGAATAAAAGAAAGCATATATCATTCATTGAAAAGAAGACTGTGTTTTACTTTAGGTAAAGTGGTTTTATTTTGTTTTCTTTTTGTTATTGTTTGTCATTTTATAATTTGTACCATGTTGTGGCAGCAATAAATAACACATTAAAATCTAGTGTTGAGTGTTCATGTGAAATTATACATTAGTATTGTTGTGAAACTAATTGATGCATAATAATCGTGATAATCGTTAAACCGTGATTATTTCTCAGACAATAATCGTACTTACAAAATCTGTAATCGTTGCATCCCTAAACACACGTTTGCTCCAAGTACTCACAACACAACCAAATACAGAAACGCGCTGCAAATGGGCTCTATGCACGGCGTTATTTCCGGTGAAGGATTAGGGATGCTCGATAACTTCCGCCGATCGTAGAGTCCAATGCAATACCGAGAATTTATATTGAATTTTATACTCCATGGTTATAATAAAGAAACGTTAGTCACAAAAACAGATAAAACATACACCCCTCGTTGTGTTTATGCTTCTTTTTAAAATTTTATTAAATAAACATAACTATATATCAAATTACATCTAAACGTATGTACGTTTCGTTTCAAAGACGGGAGGACAGTAAATATTGAAGACTCTGCCATAATCCCGTTTTCATCTGTTCTCCTCCGCTTTAATCTACACAACCGGAAATGGACGAGCATCCTTGCGTCAAATGCGGAACTTATGCGTGCATATAGCCCATAACACGGTCCACAACGGAAATGTTTCCGGGGAACCAAATAAGTGACGGACCCGACTGGAACCACAGGACGTGCTTACAGCAAAAAACCTTTATTGACAAGAAGTCAAAGCCTATATTTTTTTTTATAAATAAACTATACTATTAAAATAATATTGTATATATAAATAATATTATACTATTATTTTTTTATAGTTCGTCTATACTCCTTGCTTGCTCAAAATTCTACTTTGTTTTATTTAATTTCTTTTGACTTTCCCCCCGCAAAACACCGATATTCAAATTATTATGACATACAACTTGTGTACAATAAACAACATGTGTTAACAATATGTTCAATGTCATCACAATACAAATGAGAAAAGAACAATGATCTGAAATCTAAACTAAATAAATAAAAAAAGATCTAGAAGAACATGAAGGCAAGATATTAATCTATACATCAGTTACACTATACAAATAGTTTCATTTTATGTTTAAATTTTCAATAGAAAAGTTTCCTAAAAATGTTAGGTAATGTATGACACTGACATACAGATATATAAAACGGATATTTTAACAGATTTTTATAAAGTAAAAATAAAAAATAAATAATTTATTTGCAACCGTTATGTTAATCATTATATTTCTGTCGTCAGAACAGCTATACAGCTGATGGACAAAGTGCTGTGTTGTCATAGGAACATCCAAGGTAAAAATAATTACATTACGTTGTCTGTTGTTGCTCCCTTCATCAAGTTCCAAACGGCTACATAAATGACACACTAGGTGTCATGCTCACGCCAAATTCCCACTTGAAGAGCTTTGCCGTCTGCCCTTTGAAGGGAGTAGGGCATAGGGAAGTTCACGAGCAATAAGCAAGTCCCAGTTGGGTCCGTCACTTATTTGGTTCCCCGGAAACATTTCCGTTGTGGACCGTGTTATTTGCAGCGCGTTTCTGTATTTGGTGGTGTTGTGAGTACTTGAAGCACACGTGTGTTGTGGAACTGCTGAAGATGTTTTTCTTAATTTGCGGATGTTTTTTTGTATTTGAATGCGTTTTATAGTTGCACACGTTTTTTTGTATTTGCATGCGTCTTCATCAGGTTGCAGCGCGGTGAGCTCTCTCGGCCACCGTATATATATATATATATATATATATATAATATATATATATATATATATATATATATATATATATATATATATATATATTATATATATATATATATATATATATATATATTATATATATATATATATATATATATATATATATATATATATATATATATATATATATATATATATATATATATATATATATATATATATATATATATATATATATATATTAAACAATAGATAAACAAAAGATAGACAATTAAACAAAGATACACATTATACAGGCCAACATAGTGCTTTAATTTCAGGAAGGCCTACAAACATTATTCAGGTATGGAATTTTGGGAAGGTCTACTGGTATTGTCTAAAAAGAATTTTACTGGTATTGGCTAAAAACTGGTATTGCCTAAAAGAAGAATTAATAAAGTAATCAAAAGTAAAATAACACTGGAAAGTTGATCATAGGTAGATTTATGCTTATTAAAGCTAAAGTTATTCATTCAAGAGCTGTGAGTGATTTTCTCTTTGCCTTTTGTTGTTTGATTCTCAGTAATGGCACAATCGTCAGCATGTTTATTAGACTGCTGCCCCTTTAAGAATGATTGCAGATCTAATAGCCTACTGATGCACCATATTTTCTCCCAACTATTTCCATAACTACGTCTATTTTAGACATAAACTGTTTAAGTGTTAATCTCCAAGCCGGTCGTTTTAACATTTTTGTGCAGGCTACATTTGATCGCATTTGATCGCGCTACGTTTAGACACGCATATGAAGGCCAAAGTAAAATTTGCTCGTCTCGTTGCGGTCTGTTTCGGAGCGTGCGCCACATTGGGAACAGCAAACATCATCTCTTATGCAGATTTTTGTGCTTTTAATAGCTCTTTTTTATTATTAAAAGCTTCCCGCAATTTAGCAACAGCAGAGACTGCATTTTTCAACAATCACTGATCGTGCTGATTCTGTCTTAAAGTTTGAGTTTTAAGGAGAAATGACAGCGCACCGCAAGTTGTGCTAGACAGAATGCAGCTATAGTTTTTAATGGTTTTACCTCAATATATTCTATAATCTTTGGAAATCAGACTAATATCACAGATCTAAAGGCTACGTTTGAATGTTTAACGTTAGTTCTGTCCTCTGTCGTCACTCATTAAGCAGGGCTGGCGTGTTGTGCGCACTGTGGCACCGCGTGAGAGATCTCTCTCTTTCTCTTCTGGACAGCGAATAGCAAACATGCATCACAGACAAATTTTTTTTAACGGCTTTGCAAACATTGCATTTTGCTGTCTTGCTCTGCAGTGTGAAGTTTCCACCATAGGATTTCCTCACAGCGAACGTGTTTGCAGATCAATGCTATCCTGCTAGCTGGCTGCAAACTGCGGAATGAATTTCCTGAGCGGGGGTCTCTGTGTCTCATTGAGCACTATGATTGAGCCGCGCCTCCGTTCAGGGAATCACTTTTGGAGTCATTTCAGCAGACAACGTTAAAGCGCAGACATGGCTCATGAATATCGGATACCTCCGCAGGTTGGATCGGGAAAATCTGATACATGAATTACGCTGGTATCGGTCCCGACACTGGATCGGATCGGCCCCATCCCTAAGATTGATGGTATACAATAAAAACGTTTACAGTTTTAAGCAATTGAAACATTTTTGAAGGATTTTTTACACAGCGCCCCTGCTCTCGCCAGACAGCACACAAGGATCGCTGAGGCACCCCGGTTGGGAAACACTACTACAAGTGTTGCAATAAAATACAATACAAATACAATAGCAATAGAAAATAAATTAAAAGAACACAAAAATTAGCCTCAATATTTGACTCGTCAGCAAAGATAAAAACATTAAAAAAATAAAGACACGTACACTGGTGGTCTTCATCTTCAGGTGATAGATGAGCCATGTGTAGTGGAACTGATTTTCCTCCGCATTGACAGATTTAGGGTGGATACAAACTTTCCCATCAGCCTTAGTGTACACCTGCCTGCAAAACCACACAATTTCAAGAATTTTTCAAAAACTGAAATGCCCCATATTACGTAAAGCAACAAACCATAGTTAATTGTGGTCATACATGCCTTTTAGGGCAAGTTTATCAAAATAATTGAAACAATAATAAACCACCCAGGAGGTGGAAAAAAAGAAAAATAATCTAATCACAGCAGTTTTTTTTTTCAACCGTTATATAGAAAACGAATTGTTGTTAATTCAAAGAAATGTTGTTAATTTAATTTAATAATCTGTACTTATTTAGGAAGACAGAAATTCTGATCACAGATGTACACTATCGTTCAAAGGTTCAGGGTCAGTACGATTTAAAAATAAAAATAAATCAACATTTATTAATCAAGGATGCATTAAATTAATAAAAAAAAATGACAGAACTTTGATCAAAACTTTTATAATTTCAAATAAATGCTGTTAATTTACACTTACACCATTCATTAAAGAATCCTGAAATAAATCATGGTTTCTACAAAAGTGTTAAAGGATTAGTTCACTTTAAAATTAAAATTACCCCATAATTTCACCCCAAATTTACCCTCAAGCCATTCTAGGAGTATATGGCTTTCTTTCTTCAGACGAATACAATCAGAGTTATATTGAAACATATCCTGACTCTTCCAAGTTTTATAATGGCAGTGGATTGCAATTCATCCATCCATCATAAATGAACTCCAACTGCGCTTTACACTTAAGTGGAATCCTTAGGTTCATTTGGCCAGAAACTACTTATTTTACTTTGTGTAAGAAAAATATGAAAGGGTTAGTTCACCCAAAAATAAAAATTCTGTCAGTATTTACTCACCCTCATGTTGTCCTACCCCGTAAGACCTTCGTTCATCTTCGGAACACAAATTAAGATATTTTTGATTAAATCTGAGAGCTGGATCACTCCTGCATACTAGTCCATAGGCTTCTTGAGGAATTGAAACTTTCTGGCCATGAAAAGTCATTAAAGACATTGTTAAAATAGTCCAAGTGACTACAGGGGCTCAATCTTAACTTTATAAAGCGACGAGAATAGTTTTTGTGCGCAAAAACAAACAAAAATAACGACTTTATTTCAACTATTCACTTCCTTCTCTATGGCGTCTAGTCAGTTAACTAGTGTGATAGTGTAGAGCTACGTCACACGTAAGCTCATTATTGGCCGATGCTGGTCATGTGTGTGTGATGCGTGTGACGTACAATAAAAGAAGCTTACGCTATTAAACTAGTAACCCGATTCGAGGCAGAGAGACAAGTAAATGAATAGTTGAAATAAAGTCGTTATTTTTGTTGTTTTTTGTGCACAAAAAGTGTTCTCGTCATTAGGATCGAGCCACTGTAGTCACTTGGACTATTTTAACAATGTCTTTTTTGAGGCCAGCAAGTTTCAATTCCTCAAGAAGCCTATGGACCAGTATGCAGGAGTGATCCAGCTCTCAGATTTAATCAAAAATACCTTAATTTGTGTCCAGAAGATGAATGAAGGTCTTAAGGGGTTGGAACAACATGAGGGTGAGTAAATACTGACAGAATTTTCATTTTTGGGTGAACTAACCCTTTAACATTTAAAATATTATAAACTGAACTATAAATCGTTTTGCTTCAAAAGGCCTTTATTAACCCCCTAGAACTGTGTGAAGTTCATTTTAGATGGATGGATGCACGTTTTTGAGCTTCAATCTGTCGGATGCAATTCACTGCCTTTATAAAACTTGGAAGAGCCAGGATATTTTTTAACCTAACTCCGTATGTATTCGTCTGAAAGAAGAAAGTCATATACACCTAGGATGGCTTGAGGGTGAGTAAATCATGGGGTAATTTTCATTTGAAGTGAACTACTCCTAAGCACCACAACTGTTTTCAACATTGATAATAAGAAATGTTTGATGAGCACCAAATCAGCATATTAGAATGATTTCTAAAGGATCATGTGACACTGAAGAATGAGGTAATGATGCTGAAAATTCAGCTTGCCATAACAGGAATACATTACATTTATAATTATATTGTATAGAAAACGGTTTATCTTAAATTGCAATAATATTTCACAATATTGTTTTACTGTGTTTTTGAATATCTTTGAATGGTATAAGGTTTCACTACAATATAAATGTTAAGCAGACTTTAGTTTACACTGATGGTCAGCCTAGCAATGAGAGCAGTAACAAATTGAGCTAGGCTTAGTGTAAAGGTTTTAAATCACAGGCAGAATGGCGTATGAATAATAGAAGGATGCTAAATGGAAGCCGAAGTGACAGTGTGTAAGTATTTAATTGAGGTTCAGGCCTATCAATGAACCGAAGAAGGGAGACCACATAATCCAAAATAAACATTGAAGAAAAAAAAAACAAGCAATAGAAAGAAATACATGCCACTTACGTCGGTCTCTTCTTACTATTGCTGTGGCGAATCTTGGCCACTTTTGGGTACAGTCCTGCTACTATCACTGCCTTAATCAGCTTCTCATTCTCTGAGTAACACAAATAATGAAGAACATTGGTATGTTAGATGTAAAAATGTGAATAGGAAGATAGACCGAGCAGAGAGAAAAACAGAGCTAGAAACTATTTTTTTTTACATCAAAATTGTATAATAGTATAAAATACTTATTTCTATTTTATACAAAGGGTACTTTGATATAAACACTCAATTTAAAGTGGCATATCTCCTTTAAAGGACAACTTGTCCTTTAAGACTTCAATGCAAAAACTGCTATAATTTGGTAACACTGTTGCATAATAAAGTATTACTTTTTTATTTGACTGTTTTAACTATTACATCTGCTGAGATTAACTTATAATTATATAAGTTAAAAAATTATATTTAGATCTATTATGTATCGCTGAACATTGTAGCTGATCACAATCATGGCTGTTAAGCGTATGATTCCAATTATCTCACCACTGTGTCCGCATCTGTGTTAGTTGTGATTGAGCAATTTGGAGTGTGAATACAAGATTCAATGTAAATACGAGATTCATTGTGCAGTGTAGACAGCAGCTCTGATTATAAGGGGAGTTTTGGTGAGAGTACAGAACTCTCAGTGTCACTGAACAGCTCCAGCGATCTTAAATTGAGTGTTTCTTTGCTCTCTTTCTCTATAACCTTACCACAATTTAAATAACATGATTTCCATTTAGAGTAACAGTGTCAATTTGACTATTAAGTCAATGGCTTGATTTACAAAAAGTAATTAGGGCTGTGATGTATCGTGATTAATCGCATCCAAAATAAAAGTTTGTGTTTACAAAATACATGTGTGTGAACTGTATACAATTTTTTTGTATATATAAATACACACACATGCATGTATATATTTAAGAAATTTGCTTATATATACTGTGTGTGTGTGTGTGTGTGTGTGTGTGTGTATATATATATATGAAGAGTTCAGATGCAAAAGCCTCTAAATGCCATTTGAAATTTTCTTCTTTAATGATGATTTTTATCAAACTTGTATATTTAAGTTCAGTAATTTCACTTACATAACAATTAATAGGTAATTATCATTGTCATTTAAGTGAAATTACTGAACTTAAATATACAAGTTTGATAAAAATCATCATTAAAGAAGAAAATTTCAAATGGCATTTAGAGGCTTTTGCATCTGAACTCTTCATATATAATTTGTACTTAATTACTTAAGTACTAGTACTAGTAATTAATTACTAGTTACTAATTACCTCTTCAACAGTGTAATTCGATTACTGTTCTAATTACTCTCTTTAAAAAGTATTTAATTACTTTTAATTACTAATAACTTTCAAAATCCCATATCAATCTCAACCAGTTGAATAATACAAGGATAGACATCAATCTGTTTTAATTCTTTCAAATAAATACTATCAAATTGTATGAATTATCCTTAAACTGACTGAGGTGGAGAAGGTTACATTATAAAAAACATACTTTTTAACATCAGACAATACATTTTGATGTTAAACCCACTATTGTTTTATGTCTGATCTCATGACATTTCACACTTTTTTCATACATATTTTACAAGATGGCTAATTCATACAAATTTGTACGAGTTCGGTCGTACGATTTAGACCTCATAAAATGCATGTGAATCAATGTGAGCTCGGATTGATCTATACAAAGTATTTACCTCAATTAAATCAGAAGTAACTGTGATTAAATTACAGAAAAATGAAGAGTAAGCCCTTACTTAACATTTTCAATGGAAACGTAATTAAATTACAGTAACGAATTACTTAGTATAGTTACACCCAACACTGGCTACTGTACATACATGATGCGGCATTACTTTCAGGTCCATATCTTTCAGTAAGTCTGTTTGTAAATTGTGACTGGTTTATCAAAGAATCCACAGAAAAAAAATGATCAAACAGACAAATAATTCTCTATTGACATTCACATAATTTCAAAACAACAACAACCACTTTCCTATCATTAAGTCCCTTTGGAAGATAAAGTTATTACTGATCATGTTGTGTTATTTCTCCTGCCTGTCCATATTCACTAATGCATCAGTGGGTAGGTCAAAGAGGTCATGACATCATAATCATCATTGATCTGTGTGTGTGCAGGCCGTCTTTTGCCACTGTATTCATCTCTATCGAGTTTTGTGTTCTAAAACTTTCTGCATATTTTTATAGTACAATGATTTATTATGTCAAATAAAATATCAGGGAAAATTAGATTTTACAGATTCAATTAGATTAGACATTTACAGCATTAATTACTCTAAATCTATGTTATATTTTTTTGTAAACTCTTATAAATATTAACATTTGAAGTCAAATAATGTTCGACACTAGATCATAAAATACTCTTGGATCGTCTACAAAACCACACTGGTGTTCAGGGACAGGCATTAAGCTGGTTAAGATCGTACTGGGGAAAAATCGAAGATAACGTCAGCAGACTATTGAGTGCCACAAGGATCGGTGTTAGGCCCTCTGCAATTCTCAAAATATATGCTGCCACTTGGTAATATTATAAGAAAACAAGCTATAGTTAGTGCAAAATGCAGCTGCTAGAGTTCTTACAAGAGGTCAACAAAAATATGTAAAACACCAATTTTATCATCTCTACACTGGTTTACCTATTGAGTTCTGTATCAATTACAAAGTATTACTACTGACCTATAAAGCCCTAAATGGTTTAGCTCCTGTGTATTTAATGGACCTTCTATCGCCCTACAATCCTAGTGTTCTTTAAAGGGTTAGTTCACCCAAAAATGAAAATTCTATCAGTATTCACTCACCCTCATGTTGTTCCAACCCCGTAAGACCTTCGTTCATCTTCGGAACACAAATTAAGATATTTAAGATATTAAGATCATTCCTGCATACTAGTCCATAGGCTTCTTGAGGGAATGACTTGCTGTCCTCGAAAAGTCATTAAAGACATCGTTAAAATAGTCCAAGTGACTACAGTGGCTCAATCTTAAGTTTATCAAACAACGAGAACACTTTTGTGCGGAAAAAAACAACAAAAATAACGACTTTATTTCAACTATTCGTTTATTTCTCCCTCTGAGCGAGTCAGGTTACTAGTTTAATAGCGTAAGCTTCTGTTATTGTACGTCACACGCATCACACACATGACCAGCGTCGGCCAATAGTGAGATGTGTGACGTCCCTTTTCGCAATCACACTATGTTAACTGACTACAGGCCCATAGAGAAGGAAGTGAATAGTTAAAATAAAGTCGTTATTTTTGTTTGTTTTTGCGCACAAAAAGTATTCTTGTCGTTTGATAAAGTTAAAATTGAGCCACTGTAGTCACTTGGACTATTTTAACGATGTCTTTAATGACTTTTCGATGCCACCAAGAGTCATTCCCTCAAGAAGCCTATGGACTAGTATGCAGGAGTGATCTTAATATCTTAAATATCTTAATTCGTGTTCCGAAGATGAACGAAGGTCTTACGGGGTTGGAACACCATGAAGGTTAGTAAAAACTGACAGAATTTTCATTTTTGGGTGAACTAACCCTTTTAAGCTCACTAAATTTGAGGCTTCTGGCATTCCTAGGATATCTAAGTCCACTAAAGGAGGGAGGGCATTCAAACATTTAGCTTCTAAACTCGGGAAAAGCCTTCCTGATATTGTTCGAGGCTCAGATTCACTGTTCGAGTTTAAAACTAGATTAAAGATGCATCTCTTTAGCCAAGCATTCACATACAGTAAGTGGACAACCAGAATAAGACTTTTACCGCTGCCGTTCTGGCGGTAAAACTTGGGGTGTATTCGCTGCATTTTGCCGCTAAGAGGCACTAAAATCACAGACTTTGAATAGTGTCTATATTCTCTTTATTCTACCTAATGCGTAAACTGCAGCCGCGCCACGGCTCACTTGAAACCTGGTTGCAGATTAATTCAAGTGAAACGTAGTTTAATTAATTAATCACAATACTGAAATTAAATTGAATAAATAATGAAAACTTAAAACATTGCAGTAGAAACATATTAGGCTACATCAGTGAGGCTTTACAAGCGCATAAGACGATAATGCAACGCAATGGTTAATGGTTATTGATAATGGTTAACGCAACAACCTCAACCTCATGGAGCTTCAAACGACCCGAGATCGAACCTCATTATAGCATACATGCTGTTAACCGATTTTAATCGACAGCTTTTTACCGTTCTTAAAGCTTAAATAGATAACTGTTTATTAGCAAGTTTATTAACTGTTTATTTATTTAAAGTGTCCGTTTATTCTCTGTATTACGTAATCTGCCACTGCTCAATGAGAGCTGAGGTCGCAGATAAATCCAAGTTAAAGGTGCAATGTGTAAAAAAGTTGAGTATCTATTAACAGAAATGCAATATGACATCCATAACTATGTTTTCAGTGGTGTATAAATAACTTGCTTAATAAACCGTAATATTTTTATTACCTTAGAATGAGCAGGGAACTACACTAACCTTTTCCACTGGTGGCACTTGCGCTACTAACTTTTTCAGTTACTGGCGCAAAACATGATTTGGTCGCGCAAATTATTTATAGTAAGCCGTTCTCTGGAATAGTAATGAATAATAATGAAACATACTGCATAGGGTTGGGTATCGAGAATCGAGTATCGATTGGAACCGAGACTAACTTTTCGTTTTTCCAGGAATCGTTCAAAAGTTAAAATTTCGATTCCTAGTTTCGATATTCACAGTCCGCCGAGCGGAAGAAGAAACCGCTGAACAACACCAACGAAGAAGCGTCTACCGGAAGTGTTAGCATAACCACGCGAGTCGAACATGAGTACCTTACGTCGGCGATCCAAAGTGTGGCTTCACTTTTCTAAAAATAACGAAATCTTGGCAAAATGCAAAATTTGTGACAAAAGGAGTATTTTTACAGAAGGAGTATTTCCTTCAGAAAGACCGTTGGTAAGCAAGGTTAGCTAAACTTTTTTGACCCTGCCTCTTAAAAGAATCGGAATCAGAATCGTTCAAATTCAAACGATACCCAACCCTAATACTGCATTAGGGGTGGAACGGTACAGAAGTCACGGTTGGGTTCATACCTCGGTTCAGTACAATTTCGGTACAATGAAGTGAAAAGCAAAACAAAAATGCAGAAGGCATTTTATAAATCTCTTAAGCCTCGTATTTTTAAGTTGTTTAAGTTTTATTAATAAAGGCATAGAACCAGTTTATTTGTAGTGCACTGACAATAGTTTTATATAATTAGTTTATTAATTAAATTAATAAAAAGACAAAATGACCTTGATATATGTTTGGTAATTGTACTTGAATGAATGTAAAATTAATTTGCTATATTTCAGATCAATATATTTGTTTTCCTTAATTTTAATTAACACTTTATTCTCATCTAAATTATAAATAAATGATTTACATATAAAACAATTACCATTAAAACACATTTGATTTTCTTTTTTAATCAATGTAGAATTATGGACGCAGGACTGTTGGCAAACTGTGATGACAATAAAATGATAGCTTATACATATATCTCTGGTTGTTGTTTCTGTTCCACAACATTTTATATGTTATGTTTGGGGTGTGGGATGAAGAGAGGGATATTTTCAGTGATTATTTAATAAAACATTATTTAATTTATCTGAAGTGTGTAGTATTAGCCAATCAGGTGTCTTGACGCGAATCACGCGATTATGATTCAGCCTACACGGCAAAAAAAAAAAACTAGTCTAAAAAACTGCTAGTGATCATATAACGTTAGTCAATGTCAATATCAGCGCTAGCAATATAATTAGTTAGCTCATGGCAGAGTTTATCAGCCGAACTCCAGAGCGCAAATCTACCTTTGGTGTACCAAAACCATCGTAAGGTAGAGAGGTGTCTTACATCTCTGCGTCTTTTTCCTGCCGCCATGCAGGCCCAGATGGTAGCCTATATGATTGTGATTGGCATGCCTATTATAAAGACACAAACCTTTTACTATCATGTCCATTGATTTTGAATAATATGCGCGAGGAGGGAGAGAGAGAGAGAGAGAGCATGCAAGACAGCGCTTGTGTTGTGTGAAGACGTGATAGTGCGCGTGCGGCCAGGGCGCGCGCGCGCTCTCTCTCTCAGCTCGTTAGCGCCCGGTCAAACGCATCAGTCATTCTACTATACAACACTCGCCGATCAAAAAAGGCTTTGGCGGGACAAAAAGCGGACGATCCGAAAGGTTTTAGAAGATTAAATACAACCCGAAAGAAACAAACAAACAAAAAAACGACCCGTCAAAATAGTCAATGATACATTTGCGACCCATAAAAAATTAGGGTCGCAATGGGATTTCAAAAGGTCGCATATGCGACCATTTTGGTCGCAGTGTAGTTCCCTGATGAGACCATAACCGTATCTCCATAACCGCGGGAATCCCCTTCTATGAAGGTCGCCATATTGTGACGTCATGTTTCTACCGTAGCCGAACGCGAACAAACTGCGCTACAGAACGTGTTTCATCTCTACCTTGAAAGAGAAGCAGCTGGATGGCTGGCCATAAACTCTGTGAGTAGTGACTTTTCCCTTGTCAGTGGTGTAAAATATGTAGTTGGGATTGTTTCATGTACAAAGTAACTTAGTTCTCCCTCGCTGTGTTATGGGTTTGTTATGTGGGGATAAATGTGCTGTTACGTTTGTGAGACAGCTGATTAGTTCTCATGTCATTGACCGTAAAACAGTATGTCACAGGAATCACTAACCCATCGATCTTGTAAGAGATCTAAGTCGATCGCCAAGAGTTTTCAAAATCAGAGAAAAAGCCTATTATGTTTGAAAAGTGGTTGTAGATAGGGCTGGGCGATATGGCCAAAAAATCATATCTCGATATTTTTTGGTCAAATGGCGATATACGATATATATCTCGGTACTTTCTACGTTTTCTATTTAGATAAAGAAAATCTTTATATTAAAAAAAAAAATATATATATATATATATATATATATATATATATATATATATATATATATATACAGTATATTCACATTCGACCCAATGATATCCTACAAACAATGTTGATATTGAAGGATATGGAAACAAATATAATATAGGCTATGCAATATATTATATGCAAAAAGCTTTTGTTTTTATATTGACTAAAAGCTAAACTAAAAATGAAAATAAAAACAAAAACAAAAGCACAAACTAATTATATTAGCCTGCATTTGATTACCCCATTATAATCACTTTCACTTTCATTAAAAATATATACTTGTAGGTTTAAAATTCCACATATGGCACATTTATTTTCTCCAACAACACATATTTTAGCAATATGTTTATTTTAGTCAGAATTATTGCGTACTACGTAGTACTATTCACGCGCATGCGCGCGCCGGCGCTCGTTCAAGGAAGCATGAATTTTAGCGGAGATTCACTTGCAGAAGCTCATCCTCTTCTGACATGGACATATTTGTTGTGAAATGGACATATTTGCTTTACTTTCTAACATTTACAGATGGAGAATATAACTGTGAAATGTAAGTTGAGCACTGAGGAAAGCACCACATCTCAAACGCATTAAACAGCTCAAGTATATCTGTCAGTCAGCAACAGTGTCTGTCAGAGCATTTGACCGGGCGGCAAGCTGCCTTAAACTTGTTAACTATATCAAAGTGATTTTGACGCAATTAATATAAGCTTGTGTCATGTTTAGGACAAATTGTACTACGTAGCCTAGCTACTTTCACTGCAGAAGCTCACACTGCAACCTCCGCTATTTTTCAGATGTGCTCATATCAAACTACTGTATCGATATAAACGGTATTGCCTCATTCCATATCGTTTCAAAAAATATAACGATACATCGTACATATTCGATATATCGCCCAGCCCAAGTTGTAGACTTGGAAAAATGGTGGTACCCTTGGCCAAAACAAATACAAATGTTATTAAATTAAATCTTTTTGCAAAGTGTTACCTAAATATTTTTCTGGGATCGATAGTGTCAACATTATGTTTGGATTTTGGTTAGAAAATTAGTAGCTCATCACTCCTCAAAAATCAGCACTCTCAGACAGCTGATTTTTGAGGATTTTTGAGAAGTATGTTTGTCGTTGTCAGCTCAAATCAGTAGGGCTGTCAACTTTAGTCATTTAGTCGACCAATCAGTCGATGCCGCCTTGGTCGACTGACATTCTTATTGGTCGACCAGTCTAATTTTTTTTTTTTTTTTTTTACCAATAGAAATACATTTTCAATGATTTACTACTCCTTGATATTTATTCCTTTTATAAGCAGTTATTTATTACTGTATTCTAAATATAATTATAATTATTAAATGCTTTACTTTAGGGCTATTTTTGTAACTGCGCCACAGTTTAGCGCACACACATACACTCGGGAACCGCACCTGTGGCTGGCTGCGCTGCTGCTTTACGCTCAGTAAGGGATATAGGTAGTTTTGCTGTATTCATTTAGGTAGAATGCTACTTGTTTTGGCTTTAGTCGAAATCTAAATCTTTTGTCTGGCTGCATTTTAAAACAAAGACGACAAGACTTTGAAGGTAGGCGACCGCGTTGCTCCATTATGTGCGCGCACATCGCGTGCCTACATTTGAAATCGAACTTGAGCGCGCAAAAGACGTAAGCAGCCTTTCTTAATATGTTTCATTTTTTATTTGTACTTTTGACGCATTTGAAAATAGCCTAAATGATGTAACAAAACGAAAATAAACCTATATGCCTTGCAGCCTTCCTACAACACAGCCTATTTCAGATTGTTTTTAGGCTTTTTTTTTAAACGCCTAGATTGGCTTTACAAAAGTTAACCCATATCTTTGTAAATAAAGAAGAATATAAAGCCTGTATAAACGAGAGCTTTTGTTCAGATTTTGCATCAGTTATATTTTTTTGTAGCGTGTGGTGTGATCAGGTGCGCGATTGTGACTGTCACCAAAAACCTAGGACAGAGCTCCTCACTTTTTACAGTTAAAAAAAAAAAAATCACTTAATTTTTGAAGAATTGTATTATTACTATAGTTTTATTTATTTTTGATGTTTTTTCGTTTTTGTTTTATAAATGTTGTGTTTTTTAGTTGACTAATCGTCATGCAGGACAAGACTTTGGTCGACTAAGGATTTCTTTGTTTGACTATAGCCCTACAAATCAGTACAAGTGTAAATGGCAGTCGAAGAGTCTAAGCAAAGTACCTGAGTTGATGTTAGAGCTGCGATCTTTAGGGTCCTTACTATTCACAAAGCCAGCTGCCAAAAGATGCTCCGCAAACTGACCCTTCATATTCTGAAGCATCTGGTGGGAAGCAAAATGGGTTTCCATTCATCAAGTGCACATCAAAACGTCAATTTTGTCTATTATGTTTAACTAATGTTTGATAGGTATAGTGCACACTGACCTGTAACGTGTTTGCAGACAGGAAGTTTTCCCAGCAGTATTCCCTCTCAAACCTGCCACCCTGTCTCTTAGCATCCTCCCAGCCCTAAAATAACACCATACAAAAACACCACTAATGCTCATTTGTAGGGGTGTAACGGTACATGTATTCGTATTGAACCGTTTCGGTTCGAGGCTTCCGGTTCGGTACGCATACAAACCGAACAATTGCTTGGACCATTTTTCTTGCCGGCAAAATTCGTGCTGACGCGGCCAACACAACGTTGCGCAACATCCAAATGGCAAGCGTAATGAAAGCAGAACGAAACTGCGCTACTCGTTATGTGCTTCACGGATCGTTTATCAGTTCGGACCAGCAACAGCGCGAGCCGATCTCGATCAAGCAACACTGTTACCACACCGCGCTAAGAGATCCGGTAAAGAAAACATTTGAATTCGCCACTGAGGTAATAACATCGCTGCGAGATCTAGTGAGATGCATTCACATTTCTCCGTTATTAACCGTAGATCTCTATTAGATCAAACAGCGCTGTCATGGAAACCAGGAGAAACATTGTGCCGTGAATGAACTAGTAATACTTTACGTCCACAGACCAGCAACATTCACCATGGATTTAATATAGTAACAATAACTGGAACCAGTTTGGCTGGAATGGTGAAATGCTTTCAAGTACTTCACACATCTTTTTCCAGCACTTCAAAATTCAAATATTATATAAATAAATATATATTTAAATGTTATTTTTAATGTGATGACCAAAACATTATTTGTTCATCCTTCAAAGATGACCCCTATTTATAAACCTGAAAGTTTCAAGATCTAGGAAAACTCACACTTATTTAAAAATATTTTTTCTTTAAACAAATAGGAAATTTCTCTGGCATTTCTTTCTTTTTGCTGTATCGAAAACGTACCGAACCGTGACTTTAAAACCGAGGTACGCACCGAACCATGATTTTTGTGTACCGTTACACCCCTACTCATTTGCGAAACATAATTCAGTAAAATTGTTATCAAGTTGGCACAAATGATGTCCAACTGCATCAGTCAGTCATCACTAAAAATAACATTAAAGAGGTCTATGAGCCCGCAAGTACAA